GCCTACCTGCATTTTAACCTAGTCGACAAGGAACGATAAAAGGTTAGATTTGAAGGTTCCAATTCCAGCAAGTATTGATCAATCACACCCCACCCCACCTCTCCCACTGAATGCAGCTATAAAGCCCGGACAGAATGTGTGCAGCAGCTATTTAAGGACTCTGGAAAGTAAATAACAGCAAGCAGAGTGGGAAAAGAGAATAATTCACAAGACCACTGAACTGGTGTTGGGTTCTCCACGTTTTTCCCTCTGGTATCCCTTGGACAGAACTCAGATACTGGGAGGGCATCACCATGGAGGGGGAAAGCTCCAGGAGAAGCTCCTACTTAAAGCAAAGAGGGTTCTATAGCAACAGAGCGACAGCAAATGGGCTAGAGATTTTCTTATCTGGAAGTTTAACCTTTTTCTTTGATAATCATAAAACTACTCATGTTATGTATTTCATATTGGGTGAGTTTTGGTAATTCATGGTTTTTGAGAAATGAGCCCATTTCATCTAAGCTGTCAAACGAACATACCTAGAGTTGTTCTGTGGGGTCTGTAGTGATAGTCTTTCATTCCTGATATTGGTAACCTGTGTCTTCTTTTTTCTTTATCGGTCTTGCTAGAGGTTCATCATTTTCTTGATATTTTCAAAGACCAACTTTTACTTTTTTTTTAAGATTTTAATTTATTTATTTGAGACAGAGAGAATGAGAGACAGTGAGCATGAGAGGGAGGAGGGTCAGAGGGAGAAGCAGACTCCCCGCCGAGCAGGGAGCCCGATGTGGGACTCGATCCCGGGACTCCAGGATCATGACCTGAGCCAAAGGCAGTCGCTTTACCAACTGAGCCACCCAGGCTCCCGACCAACTTTTACTTTTAATAATTTTCTGTATCATGTATTGACAAATATAGCAGCTTGGCTGAATTTCAGAGTTATTAAGGCTGATTTAAAAAGTCTCAAAATATTATATTCTATATCATTCCATTTATAGGACATTCTAAAAGGACACAAATTATACTGACAGAACAAATCAGGGGTTGCTAGTGCTTAGGGGCAGGGATACAGGACTACAAAAGGGAAAACAAAGGAGGTTTTTGGGGTGATGGATTTATTCTCTACTCTGTACTGGAGGTTATACAAACCTATATGTTAAAATTTACAGAGGTATACATCAAAATAAAGTCAATTTTACCATATGTTCATTTAAAAAATAAAATTTAAGTTCAGAGGAGAAATAAGACTTTGGTTTAAGAAGTCTTTCGGCTTTGAAATGTACACTCAGGAGCACCAGGATGGCTCAGTTGGCTGAGCATTTGACTCTTGATTTTGGCTCAGGTCATGATCTCGAGGTCATGAGATCGAGCCCCACATTGGCTCTGTGCTCAGCACGGAGTCGGCTTGAGATGCTCTCTTTCCTTCTCCCTCTGCCCCTCCCCCCCACTGTGTTCTCTCTAAATAAACAAAATCTTTTTAAAAATAAAATAGAATGTATACCCAATTAAGTAACTGTCCAATTAATTATTCTTTCAATTAAATATTTCTCTTAATACATTTGAAGTCACCATAAAAATAAGTTTGATTCTACCTATTTTCAATAAGATTTGGGGGAAACACTCTCACATAACATTATTGGGGGTAAATAACTACAAGGTCTTTAAATGGATATTTACCACTAAGAAAACATAAAATGTATACCTTTTGATCCAACAATTTCACTTCTAAAAGGAATTTCTAGTACAGATGTACTTGTAAACATGCAAGAAAGTACATACAAGTGTGTTTATTGCAGCATAATGCATAATTGCAAATTACTAGAAAATATTTTGATGTCTGTTATATATTCATGTAATTGTCAGAAAGTCATTTTTAAAATGAAGTCAATTGGGGCACCTGGGTGGCTTAGTCAGTTGGGCGTCTGCCTTTGGCTCAGGTCGTGATCCCGGAGTTCTGGGATTGAGCCCCGCCTCGGGCTCCCCGATCAGTGGGGAGTTTGTTTCACCCTCTCCGGCTCATGCTCTCTCTCTCACTCACTCTTTCTCTCTCTCTCTCAAATAAAATCTTTTAAAAAATAATAGAAATTAATAAATTAAATGAAGTCAGTCAATCACTGATATTAAAAAAATCTCTAAAGCTATTAAAAAATAAGGTGAAGAATAATATATAGAGATTGATCTCATTTCTGTTTATAAAAGGTCATATATATGATGTGGGAGTTTATACATAAGAAATTCCAGAAGGCTATATAAAATACTGTTAACAGTTATTTCTTTGGAGTGGGCTTGGAGATACATGGGGGAAGAGAAAGGAAATAGTTCAGAAGAATTTAAAATGAAAACCCAAACTAAGAAAAATCCTGGACATTATTTAAAACCTGTTTTAATATATGAGGTGTGAATGTCTATGTGAGGTAATGGATGTTAACTAATCTTACTATGGTAATCATTTTGCAATATATACATATATTAAATCATTATGTTACATATCTTAAACTTACATAATGTTACATGCCAATTGTATCTCATTAAAAATGGAAAATTTTTAAACAGTAAGTAAAATAAATAAAAATGAACTATCTTTAAAAATCCTAATAAGATAATAATGTCTTTGTAGAGAGTTTGTTATCAGGGCAGCTGACCTTCAGCCAACCCTGGAAAATACCATTCCTGAGAACACCTATAGTTAAAGAGATCTTAATAGGGTCAGGGTAAAGAACCTGAAAGTCTGCCATCAAACCATTCCTCCAAAAAATTTTGCCCTCATTGGCTCCTCAAAGACAATCAAAGGATTAAAGGTATACACATACCCAAGAAGAAATTTGCCTGGAGGACCTGCAAACAGATCCTTTTGATAGATTCACAGATGAGTCCCAGGAGTTGCACCCAGTTTCTCTGGGTTAATAATATACAAGTCCTAGTTTAACATTTTTTCGAATTTATGGTAAAGTTAATATTCCCAGGATATACATATAATAATACAGAAATTGTTGATACTAAAAGACGCTAGATTTGTGATCTTGAGAAAATTACATGATTTCTTATTTAGTAATGTCCTCAAAAACACAACAGCAGACTGGGTGATAGATAAGACCTTTACCAGTTCCTAGAATCAGGGAGTCACCTGGTCTGGTTTAGAAACTGAATTTTATAGAGTTCTTTCCTGATTCAGATTTCATTTGTTATTAGATTGACATTGGCCAGCAGTCAAATGTCAATCCTTAAAACATTTTTACCAAACCTTGTAAATTTTCAATTAGTTGTTCAGATTTACTTAGCATGGAGACAAAGCTCTTAAGCAGCAAATTCTTCACAAATTAAAAGTTGTTTCTTCTATTAACTGTTGAAAGGCATCTGACTTTAGAGATAAATTTATATTTTAAAAATATGTGTAGCCTAAGGAAAATATTGCATGACATTTAAGAACCAAAGTCAAAGAACCGTTTACTATAAATAAGCTTCCTGGGAAATTGTCTGAACATTTTAAAACACAAACAAAAATTTCGAAACTTAGTAGCTAAGGGATAAAAGCTAGGTATCGCCAATTTTTTAAAGACTCTTTCATTTAGTTATCTTAGAATCTCAAACAGATTCCCCACTGAGTAAGGAGTCCCACATGGGCTCAATCCCAGGACCTCAAGATTATGACCTGAGCAGAAATCAAGAGTCAGATGCTTAACCTGAGTTAGCTACGCAGGTGCTCCAGCAATTTTTTTTTCAGACATGCTAATTCATTCTTATCCTTCATATCATCCTTCATATCATTCTATATAGAGCTTCTCGATACCTCTGTCCTATTTCTTCTTGGATGCTTGTTCCGAATTTATTCCAGCTGTACCCCAACAGACTGACCTCTTTGGACAAGGCATGTCCACTGCTGCTCCTGTTTTCACCTCATACAACTTTCCTGTCAGCTTCCTGCAACAGCCATGGCTCCCAGCCTTCCCCAGAACAACATGGCTGTCTTTCCTGCACTGATCAGACAGAGTTTGTTCCAGAGAGATGGGGGAGGGAAGGAAGAGGAATGGAAAGGGACAAAGGGAAGGAGGGATGAGGGGGGAGGGAACAGGAGGGAGAAAAAGGAGGATTAAGGAATAGATGTATTGGTTGCTAGTCTGCCATCCATGTTCAGTTTCTTACTTTTCCCACTTAAAAACCCTGCCCAGAATAATTTCTTTATATTTGAAAAAGGAAAGAATCCCTTGAATAATGATAAGTGACATAATATGTGCTAAACTGATTTCCGATGAGAAACTGATTTATCGCCTACATTTCAGAGCCCCGGGAAAGTTGACACGGAGCGATAAATGGATTTCAGGGCAGGCAATGAATTTCTGAAGTGCATTTCAGAAGCCCTGCTCCAAATCATAAATAAAAGCAGGCTGACTACAGCCTAGCACGGATGACCAAGACAAAACATGCCATCCAGGACCCAGTCAACACCCTCCTCACAACGCCCAAAGTGGATGACCAGATGTTCTAGAAAGATGTTTCCCAAGGCAACTTCCCCAAGAGTTCATCAATTAAAAAAAAAAAGTTCAGAACACAAGAGATTGAAAACAATTACTCAGGGGGAAGAAATTATTGCAGGGAGTTTGAAGAATAGAAAAAGAATAAAACAGTCTTCAGTGAAGTTAGCGGCAAGAGTTTAGTTTCAAAATACACCCACTTTTCTCATCCCCGCAAGACTGCACCTTCCACCCTGAACCACTTACTAGCAACCCCCACAATCCAAAGGAACCGGGCACCTGGTGGTTATGTTTAACCAATACTTAATCATCTAATTCCAATGCTCCTGTTCGAATATGAACTCTGAAGGTAAGGTGACGGGAAGAGTGACTACAGGGAAGGTGAAGGCCAGCAAAGAGAAGTCACACAGCACCCAATAGGAGAGAGAGAAGCCCCCACCCACAGATCTTCAGCTCCAGCCATTTCTTCCTCGGAAGGAGAAACTTGGTCAAGAAACAGAACCTATCTTTGGACAGTTCATAGCAAAAGTGAAACCACAGATTGACACTTACATTTCATTTGCTTGGAGATGGACTTATTAGGCTCAAGCCAGTGCTAGGGAGAAAAAAAAAAAAAGAGAGAGAGATTATAGGTCAAATGGTTGAACCATGTGATGCATACTTAATAACTAAAAGAAATTTAATATAGTCTTTTTCCAAAGTACAGTCTTGGTTCCCATAAATATTTCCTCAAGGTTCCACCTTCTGAAGATCAATACAAACAATTCCATAATGAAAATACAACAGGCAAGGTTATAAATTACTGAGAATTAACAGAGTAGTATTTGAGTCCTACTAAGAGAGAAGAACTAGGGAGAGAACATGCACTTCAATGGGATATTCTCATGGCTCTAGTGGACCCTAGGTGATGGAGCTCCATTGCTCTGGGCAAGCCACAAATGGCTAAAGACTTGGACATCCACGACCTCAAAGAGTCACAGTCCAAGACAGCTTCAGCACCCCATCCCCCTGCCAGGTCGCCCCTGTCAGGTGAACAGTGGGCCAAGCCAGCATTAGCCCCATCACACAGAGGCAATTCTTCTTTTAGAGTAGGGAGGAACAAGTGATAAATATCTTACTTCAGAAGATTGAGATCATCTAGAAGAAAAACCAGCTCTATCACAAAACAAAGAAGCCCAAAGACCTGGGTAGCTCAAAATGGTGTTAGTGACAGGCATTCGAAGCAGATACATGCTGATCCCAGCAGCCAGCTCGCTCCACACTGTGAGTGGAGGTCATTCCAACATGTTGAGAGCCAGGCAGCTTTTAATATCCCTAACCACTGACGTCCCTGAAGCCACTTAGCGCATGTCAGGAAGCATCGCTCTATACACCTGCAGTTTATAAAGACAATAGGAGTGCCGTTGGTATCCATCAGGAGGTCAGAGAGCCCTCACTTACCGGGCACCCCTCACACTCAATACTAGAGAGGAAAGGAGGACGCTTACCATACCTTGAGGCTTATACTCCATTTGTGTCATCCAGTTAAGCCTCAGAGTTCCGTAGTGTCCCTACAGTTTGATATAAATGCATAACCAGAAAGTCGAAGAAGAGCTAGCCTATGATGAGTGCTTCCTAAATGCCAGGTGCTACTCTAAGCATTTCCATGGGCCATCACTACCACTCCACTTACAGATGAGAAATTAGGAGGCTCAGGACATTAGACAACTAGCCTAAGGTCACCCAGAGATTAAGTGGTGAAACCAGCGCACGGTGGGATTCCAGAGCACAGGCCCTTCACCTTGGCCATGTGGCCTCCCCAAAGATCAGTCTGCTCTAAAACATTATTCTCGACAAACATTCCTTCTTTCCCCAGGAGCTGAAAAATGGAATGGTCAAATCAAGAGTTTCCAATCCAGGGTGTCTGATCACTACAGTCTTCTAAAACAAGAATAGGGGTTTTTTTTAACCATGTCAATGTCATGAAGAGTTGGACAGAAAACCACACATTTACCTCTGATGTATTGCACAAATGGACACGGCAAGTTTCTTTGCTTCTGATCAAAATTAGGTCTGTTCATTTTGAGAACCTGGTTTTTCCTCCTTTTTTCATTTTTTTAATTGTGGTAACATACACATCAAATTCACCATCCTAACCTTTTTAAGTGTACAGTTCAGTGGTATTAAATGCATTCATAATGGTGTGCAACCATCACCACCATCCTTCTCCAAAGCACTTTCACCTTGTAAAACTGAAACTCTAGCCCTAATAAACAGTCACTCGGCCCACCCCTTTCTCCACGCCTTTGGAGACCATCATTCTACTTTTGGTTATCTCCTTCTAGTCAGAAGCAATGCTTGGCATTTACACAGTTATCACTGAACAGTGGAAAAACATATTGATTGGGCCACTTACTAGCTGTATAACCATGTACAAAATGTTTAACCTCGCTCTCAATTTCTGCAACTATCATATGGGAATAGCAGTAATACCTACTTGCACGGTTGTTGCAAGGATTTTAGAAGTTAATAAAAATAAACATGAGACACTTAAAATGCCTGGCATGTGAAAAATATCAATAAATGTTTGTTTGCTGATGCTGTTTTTACTTAATAAGTACAGTAGACCATTTAATTAGTAGACCATATCCCATGGAGGAGAATAATAAAAGGGGCCTCTGATGATTATTTTTTTAGAAATAGGATAATTTAGAACTAAGGCAAGAAAACAAATACCAACTGAGATCAATACCTACTGCTCTTGTCTCACAAAGGAGAATCACTAGTCATTTGGCCAATAAAGTCTGAAATGCATTTTCCGAATTCTCTTTGCTTGGCATCATTTGAACTCCTTAGCCCTTCTCTGCCTAACTTCAACCTGCCTTTCCTCCTCCTCTCTGCCTCCAGGGATGACAGGTACATTTCATTTTTATATGCCCATATCAGTTAGTTGGTAGCAATCTCCCAGGGCCATGAAGAAGGATCAAAGTCTCAGTGAGAATGAGTGCCATGATGGATTGGCTGTGTCTGCCATAGAGGGGTAGGGAACATGGAAGGTATGCCTGCAAAATATTTGCCATCTGTGCCCTAAGTAAGCTATTTACTCTAAATGAATGACTACTTTGTCCTACGAAATACACCCTGCAGTTTCTGATGGGTTCCGACCTTCCTCCTCCCCTTGGCCTATTCACACCCTACCCTTGCCTCTCAAACCTCATGTATTTGATGACATACATCTACAGTGTGACCACTACATACTTTTCTACCAGGACAACTATTCTTCTGCAGTGGGGATAGTCATGGGGTATAGAGCCCTAAGAAAAATAAGCCAGCATTAGTCATGTTTCAAGAGATTATAGTAAATCATTTCTTTGGACAGGGTCAAGCTCAGTTTGTGAGCATTTATTAAAATTTAAAACTCTGACTGGCCTATGGCCCCACAATTCCCTTATTCCCCAATTTGCCCACATGAACACAGAGGAACATAACAAGGATTCTCACTGCAAGATTATATTAAATTATAAAACATTGGACTATTAATGGCCATCATCAGGAAAATGGTAAATAATGTGTCATCTGTTCATATTCTAGAGGATTCTTCACTGTATTATAGGAGGTAGATCTTGATGGGTAACATGGTTAGATCTCTAAAAAAACACAGTGTGATGAAAAAAGTGAACTGCAAAATTTATAACTATGGCCACAGTTCTCAAATCATGCACTGAAGCGCCCCAGGGAAAAGGGGCCATTCTAGAAATCTGTCAGATACCCACTGTGCAAACTAGCAGCTCAAGGAAGTTCCCAGCTCTAACATTAGATCATGCTAGATTTCTTTTGATGTCATGCTTTTTGCAACGCTGGGTTTTTAGCGGTTGCTGTGATAAAAAGCAAGTACCATGCGAAAAGAGGTGTGCGAGGCAATGAGTATGGCAGTATCTATCTGATCTGGTCCTGGAATCTGAGGAGCCAGGGGCTGCCCGACAGGTGCCCACATCCTGTTCCCAGGTAATGGTGGTTAAGAATGAACTGGAGGGTGCCTGGGTGGCTCAGTTGGTTAAGCGACTGCCTTCGGCTCGGGTCACGATCCTGGAGTCCTGGGATCGAGTCCCACATCGGGCTCCCTGCTCAGCAGGGAGTCTGCTTCTCCCCCTGACCCTCCCCACTCTCATGCTCTATCTCATTCTCTCAAATAACTAAATAAAATCTTTAAAAAAAAAAAAAAGAATGAACTGGAAATACTATTTTCATGTAGGTCATGTTTTAAATGGCCACTAAGCTGTTAGGACATAAATACTAAGTTTGTTGTCCCTAACTCTTATTAGGTAGAGCACCATGAAATAAGTACTTTTGACCTAGGGCCCCATGAAATAATTACTAAGATACTAAGAGAGCCATAAATCAACAAAGTTTGGGAACCTCTGAGCTATGGTATCATATAATTAATGTGTTTTCTTTTTTAAGTAAAAAGTACAAAACACTACCCTATATTTTCAAAGAATACATAGTAAGCATCTAAATGTATTTTTAAAGATCTGAAATGATACACAATAAACATAGCAGGGAGAAAACAGGAATTTAGAAGTGTTACTCAAAGGAAACCATGACTTCTGTTTTATCTGTGATGTTTTAGCTTATACTTTTTACATGTATTCACCCATTACATGAATAATAAAATTCAATTTAAAAAAAAAGGAAGCTAAGTTCTACTCAGACGATAAAGGTGAATTTTTATGTAGTTTAGACTCAAGACAAAGAATTTTGTACATAACAGGCAGATGCCAAGTCCAGCTAAGCCACCAGCTCTGCGTTCAAATCCCAGTTCTGCCACTTACTAGTGATGTGACCTCCAGCATGTTTCTTCCTGTTTCCCCACTTACAGCATCACTGTGAGGTTTAAGTAGGTTAATGCATTAAAGCAGTCCTTAGAACAGAGCTTAGAGCCTAGTAAAAGCTCAGTAAACACCAGCTGTTCCTATCTTCTTTGCATTCACTCAGACACTCCCAAGTTGGTGCAATGGCCCCTCTTGGTGAGCCCACCTCTTTCCCTCTCTTCCTCTCACACTCCCATCCCATCTGCCTTCTGCTCTACATGAAAGGTAATTCTCCTCCCCTTTTTCCTTCTTCCTTTTAGAGTTGTGAGTTGGGCAATGAATTCAAGTCTGTACGACACCAACAACTCCTGCTGTTACTATATGTACAGATGGATTACACGCCGGTGAGAAAGAAACAACCAGGATGCTGTGTGCTTAGTAATTAGATCTGAGGCTCAGAACATTTACTGCATTGCTATTTTCCTTTCAATTGCTACTTGGAATATATGCTAGTTGTGTTTTTTGTTGTTGTTGTTTTGTGTTTTAAGTTTGTTTCCATACTGGAAATGGAAATTCCTTGAGAGAGGTAGAAAGAAAAGCCTGCCAACCAAATATCTAAATTTGTGGCTGGTTTACTATAGCTGAAACCTTCATTTTCTCAACTTTCATTTAGAATAGGAATTCCAAAGACTAAAGAAGCTAAAATCTGGGTGCCTGGGTGGCTCAGTCGTTAAGCGTCTGCCTTCGGCTCAGGTCATGATCCCAGGGTCCTGGAATCGAGTCCCGCATTGGGCTCCCTGCTCAG